CAGGACACAGTGGCAACACAGGGAAGACCGAAACCACAGACACACAGCGGTCCCCAAGCCCGGAACTCCAGGAGTCCTCCAACAGGGACACCTGCACCCCCCCAGAGAGAGAAGCAAAGGGAAACCCCGGGCGATCCCCTGCAACCACAATTTAGAAACCCCTGGAGGCTACAGCGACGAGTCCACAGGCCCCGCGGGTAACCTGCCCCTCCAGAGTAGATCCGGCCATGGACACCGAGCACCGAGGTCATACCACCCCCCAACAGAGGCCCGACAGAGCCAGGGCACCTAGGCCCCGACAGGCAGCCACCAGGGCGGGCCCGCACACATCCAACTACCCAGCCCCAGCTGCTGACAGCCGCCAATGCACCGGTAGCAGGGGGGCCACCACCGGAGGGGAGCATGACAGGGGGAAGTTGACCCCACATTAACCCTAACCCTAACCAGACAACCAGATTTAACTTTTTTAGATCACTACTTATAGTTATAGGGATACATGGTTCAACAGAACCTGTTGACCTGTGGCATCACAGGGTCAGCCCTTAAATGGTTTAGATCTTACCTCGCTGACAGGTCCTTTTGTGTCTCCATCAAAGATTTTAGTTCAGCCTCGGCAGCGCTTAAATGGGGGGTACCGCAAGGGTCCATCCATGGTCCTCTTTTATTTTCTTTATACCTGCTGCCACTAGGTGCTATTTTCAGGAAACATAACATACCTTTTCACTGCTACGCTGATGACTACCAAATCTACTTCCCCCTCAGACTCAACGGTACTTGCTCTATTCAACCGTTACTGGACTGCCTGGCTGACATCAGAGATTGGATGGCTTTAAATTTCTTGAGTTTCAACGAGAAGAAATCTGAAGTTATGCTGTTTCCTCCCAATGACACAATCACCAACCACTGCATCGACCGATCCGTTCTGTCACCGTTAGTGAAGCAAAGAGTCACTAATCTAGGAGTGATACTTGACCCTTCTCTGAAATTCAACAATCATGTAAATATGATTGTTAAATCCTGCTTTTTCCAGCTGAGGCGACTGACTAAGCTGAAGCCCATATTGTCCAAAAATAACGTGGAGACAGTAATTCATGCATTCATTACATCCAGGCTCGACTATTGCAACTCACTCCTTTTTGGTATCAGTCAGACCTCCATAGCTAGACTCCAACTGGTCCAAAATGCAGCAGCCCGGTTTTTGATCAGCACAAGCAAAAGAGAGCACATTACACCTGTTTTGGCCTCCCTACACTGGCTTCCGGTTCACCTTCGAATCAAATTCAAAATACTCTTGTATGTCTATAAATCACTAAACAGCTCTGCCCCCTCCTATCTTACTGATCTGCTCCAGCCGTATGTCCCACCACGTTCTCTCAGATCAGCAGACCAGTTGCTCCTAACAGTCCCAGGAACCCGCCTCAAGCGCATAGGTGACAGGGCCTTCTCTGTAGCAGGCCCAAGACTTTGGAATGAGTTACCTCTGCTCGTTAGACAGGCCCCCTCCCTCACAGTTTTTAAATCTCACTTAAAAACACACTTTTATTCCCTGGCTTTCAGCACTGTGTGATCTGTGCTGAGTCTGTGTGCATCACACTGTGTTGGTCATGTTGCAGTTGTTGTTGTTATCCATTATTGTTTTTGTTGGTTTCTACTTTTTGGTGTCCTGTTATGTAATCTGTTGCTGTGTGCTTGTTCTGTTTGTCCCTGTACAGCACTTTGGTGTGCTTTGTCACTGTTTAAAGTGCTTTATAAATAAATTGGCATGGTATGGTAACATCTACATGAATATTGAAATCACCCATTATAATGTTTTAATGATGGTGGCGATGTTACTGCACTCCATGACTGGTAATACAGATCATTTTGAGCTCTTTCAAAGTTTCTTGTAGAAATGTTGTGTCACTCACAGATCAGTTTAACTTCCCTGACATGCTAATAGTATTAGCATTAGCCAGGTGGAAATGACAAAGTCACACATGCGCGGTCAGGTCAGTTTTTTCACTATCAGATAAAAATGAACGTATCAAGCGTTTACATGCACACCGCTTGGGTTATGAATCGATGTAAACCACCCGTTTCATTCTGACCACAAATTTTTCCAGATCCCACTGAATAAACAAAAAATAACCCAAACGGGGTGTTTACATGACGTGTTTTTATTCAGAATGGCCGTTTGATCCGATTACTTATGTCCATGTAAACATAGCTACTTAGGGCCAATATGGTGTACAGGTAGAGCGGCCAACTTGGGACAAGAAAGTTGTAGGTTCAACTCCACCCCCCATGCCCACAAGTCATGGTGTCCTTAAGCAAGACACCTGATTTTTAATTGATCCCTGGGCGCTTACATAGCTGCACACTGCTCCACCTGGGTGTATCTCACGTGTGATGGGTTAAATGCAGAGAACTAATTTTGTCATTGTATGGAAACAATGATGACAACACATGAGATTTTCTTTCTTATCTCATTCTTCCCATGCAACACTGCATGGGTCTTAAGTCTTATTATGCATTATATGCTATAATAGGTCTAAACAAATCAATAAATAAAAACAAAAAACAAACAAGCAAAATGCATTTATAAAGAGGGTGAATTACACAAAGGTGGACTTTACTGAATTTAGTTTGGGCTATCAAAGTGAAGTGGCTGAATACAATGCACACTGATTTTCAGCTTTAATTGTTAAAATTATAAAACCATGTATCATTTTCCTTCCACATCACAATTATACACTAGTTTGTTTTTGGTCTATCGCAAAAAAATCCCAGAAAAAATACTTTGAAGTTTGTGGCTATAATGTGGAGGAGAAAAAGTTGAAGGGGTGAGAAGACTCTCAATGCACTGCATCAATATTAACTCTGATTAACCTATTTAAACATTGATTACTCAAAATATTGAGTAACAACGACCAGTACAAATCAAGAGCTAAAGACAAATGAAGGATATGTGCAGAGTAATGGCAAAGCCTGTAAGAATTAGTCACTAGCTATGTTTACATGGACATAAGTAATCGGATCTAACAGCCGTTCTGAATAAAAACACGTCATGTAAACACCTCGTCTGGGTTATTTTTTGTTTATTCAGCGTGATTCGAAATAATTAGTGGTCAGAACAAAATGGGTGGTTTACGCCAATTCATAACCCAAACGGTGCGCATGTAAACACTTGATCTGTTCGTTTTTATCTGATGGTGAAAAACTGACCTGACTGCGCATGTGCGACTTTGTCATTTCCACCTGGCTAATGCTAATAATATTAGCGTGTCAGGAAAGTAAAACCGGTCGGTGAGCGACAACATTTCTACTAGAAACTTTGAAAGAGCTCAAAATTATCTGCATTACCTGTAGGTCAGTTAGGGAGTGCAGTAACATCTCCACCGCATTAAAAGCTGTCGCGGGTCCATTTTGGTGCTCAGGTTTGTTTATGTTCATCCCAAAAGTAGAACTTCTTCTTCTGTGTTCTTTTAAGGAGAGTTTAGCACTCTGCATGTCAGTACTGCTGTTCAGAACAAAGCCCGCTGCAGGTAAACGCTCGTCATGAACAGATTGTGCCCATGTAAACAATACATTTGAATTATTTAATCTGACAACATTTCAATCCGGTCAAATAATTTTGTGCATGTAAACATAGCTACTGTGGTCCATCTCCTGTGTCAAGAAGGGGGCTCATGTGTTGGGACGTGTTCTGGATCTGCAGCCAGATCAGAACTAAGCCCGTCTGGGTTCCATTACTGCTCTCCCATGATTAAAGCACGCATCGTTAATTGAACATAAACATTCATCATCATACTCAGCTTCTATACAACAGGCTTCCTGTTCCACTCAGATTCCAGGACAAACTCTGGACTAAGCGTCCTGTGATCCCTCTGGACTCATCTGCCCACTGAGGTGGGACATGCAGGCTCTCAAGCACAGAGAGAAACGTCACAAGGCGAGAGGGGAAGCTCGTCTATTGTCTGAAGTGAAAATGTAACAAATGGCTGTGCTGTTTGTGTAAATGAGCCAGTGTGATGCAAGAGACAGGAGGAGGACTGAATTTAGGCAGCTGGTGTCTCATTCATCCTTCCCCGTTACACTGAACACTGTTTAAAAGCACTAGAATACAAATATACTGTAATGACAGGTCAGTCTATATTAATGAGACAAAACTCATTAACTGCCAGCTGACAATGGACATCTGAGAAAAAAACAAGCATCAGTCAAGAAACCAAATGTTTTGCCATTATTTTTCATATTTGTCTAGTCCAGTCATGGCCCAGAAGCCATGGTTTGTCCTGGAGGTGAGCTCCCCACTCTGAGTACTCCGATTTCTATGTTCCAGGCAAGGTTCCCTGTAAAACATGATCTCCCTTTATCATTTAGGTTTTAGAAAAAAAAAAAGTGGAATGCTCCCTCTTGGTTAGGAGTGAGTCTGCCTCCAGCAGAGGAAAGTCCTGTTGGGACTTGAGTAATGTTGGAATGGAGCCTCCACAGGATGGAAGGGTTCAGTCTTACATAAATGGTGAGGCACTTGTTTATCTGGGAAAACAGAACACTGCCTCCCTGAAAGGAGGATGTTAAGGTGGTTTGGGCATATGATTAGGATGCCTCCTATGCACCTCCATTTGGAGGTTATCTGGACATGACCCACTGGGAGGAGACCCTGATGAAGACCAGACCTTTCTGGATGGATTATATATCCTCTCTGGCCTGAGAATGGCTGGGGTCCCCCTAGAAAGAGCTGGAGTCTTGCTGAGGAAAGGGATGTCTTGGTTTCCCTCCAGGACCCAACAACAAACAAGTAGCAGATATTGACTGATTGCTTTAATATCTACCTGTCTGTCTGTCTAGATGAATGTTCTTAACCAGTTTCATCAACATTACTGTGATTTATTTGACACCAGTGAATCAGAAATGTGAGTCTAAAATTGATCAATTACCCAAAAAGCAAATTGATGACAGACCAAATTAAATCTGGATGACTATTTAAAGTGAAGCAGGTGAAGAAGATCATCACTTGCCTGATCATTCCAGCAAAAATCAGGCGTGACAAGAAGACGGACTCGTAAGACGGTGCGTGTGATTGGTTGGATGCTAGCCTCCATTGTGACTGAGGGGATCTGGTGTGCACACTGTTTGACAGTCAAGCCAATGTTAACATGGTGCAGCATGTGACCTGAGGAAAGAAAATTGGTTAGGATAAAGCGTTTATAATAAAAATATAGAAAAGCATTTTACTAACTCCCTGTGGGAAAAAGCTTTCTGACATCAGCAGACACAATGCAACTGTGCTAAAATCTAAAATCACAAGTATTATGTACAAATATGTATAAGTTTATGTAAAAGTATAAAGGGAACCAAGATGAATAAAAATGTTAAAGCTGCTGTCAGTGGCTCATTGTGGTCAACATGGTAACCCCATACCAATCTCTGTCACTCCCTGACTGCGCTGTAAATGAGAGGCAGACAGAAATGCAAACTGAAAAGCAAGTCTCAAACAGTGGCTCTGTGAAAATGATGTGTCAGTTTTGAAAATGTTTGAAGTGTGCAGCAGAAGACTGATGGTCACATATGAATTTCTACGGTCCTACAGTGTTTTATGTAGGTGGTATGAAAAGTTTAAAGCACTTTGCTTCCTGTTTTGAGGATAATATTTGGAGCTAAAATAAAACTGAATCTGTTCTCTGTTAAGGCAAATTTGAGAGAAAACAAAAGCAAGTCCTCCTCATGTAATAGCCACCTTGTCATGGTGGAGGAGTTTGTGTGCCTGAATGATCATAGGAGCTATGCTCTTAGAGGCAAACATAAGTGCCCATGGTAGAGTCCCCCAAGGCAGATTGACTCAAGGTGACAGGCCAGACAAAGAGTGATTCAGAAGATTTATGCCCCTATTCCACTATCACGGCGCGGGTCGAATATTTCCGGCTTGACGTGTGTTTGAAGTCTTTTCCATGGTTCTTGGGACCGGCTCACCTCCCAGAATTCTGGCCTGGCTTCTCAAGGGGTCCAAGCGAGCCGCGCCGTGACGTCAGAAACATTGTCGGTCACTGAGTGGTTGGGGGGAAGAGTCTGTGGAGTCTTTCCAAACAACCCGATCCACCAATTTTTCTCTACCGCCTGCCATTAGCAATAACTCGAGGAGCGTATCTTTTAGTATTTTGAAGCTATACAAAAACAATAATGTCAAAGCCGTGGTCAAATGCAGAAGTGCAGGTGTTGTTGTGCTTGGTGGCCGACAAAAAAAGTCAAAGCGAGCTAGATGGAGGATTGGAGGGTGGTTTGGACACGGCCACTGCTCTACTTGAATCATTTATGGAAGATGGTGAGTGTTTTCTAACTTTAAACATATTTTAAGTGACTCATCCCATCGGTTCTGAACATATTTTTAACTAACAAAAGAGGCTGACGCCATAATAGGACAACATCGGTGCTACAATGCTAAGCTAATTTGCATAAACGCTAACTGTCCTCCGGCCCTGTTTCTCACTGTATTTTATCCAGAACGTATTTCAGCGCGTGACAGTTCATCTCTAAACTCCACATTAAACCCTCCAAGCCTCCCGGCTCCTGCTCCATCAGAGGAGTCTGCACCTGACAGAGCTCCATCACAGCCCAGCTGCACCTCACAGAGCAGCACAACGCTGCAGCTTCTGTGCTCGGTAAGAACAGATGCAACATGTTCCACATCACTTTATTTGTGCCGATAAGGACTTGCTTTATTTTATTTTTAAAGTAAAAAAATAAAATGTTGAATAAATACTGAATTGGGATGAAATTATGTACTTTGTACACAGGGTCCCAGTTACAGAAAACAAAATGTAAAAGAAAAACAGTAATAAGATCTAAGATATGAATTAAGAAAAATATCAACTAAAAAACATCTAGTAATAAAACACTAAGCACTAATAGCAGTAAACAATCAAAACAATACGTCAAACAGCAACATGAACTAGAGTTTGTGCAGCCTCATGAATATATAACACTGTGAAGAATCATATGTTGCTGCTGATCTGTTCTGATCTGTTTCATGTTGCTGCTGATCTGTTTCAATGTTACTGCTGATCTGTTTCAATGTTACTG